ATGAATACTTGAACAAGTACTTACATTTAAATAAAATCAAAATCGAGTGAAATATATTCGAATCTAATTACAAGTGATGTATTCATTGAAACATTTTTACTTTCTAGTAATATTCGTAACTTATGGAACAAAATTTATTTATCGAATTTGACCAGAATTCGTGAGTACATATTCGTGACTTGATCTCATGCCTAATTCTAAAACCATGTAGTACATTAATGAAAATCTTAATTTTATTAATGAATATCAGAATATGGATCTTTCGTTTAAGAGTTCATTTTTATGACGAGTTTAACGTACGTGGAGAAAGCAATATGTAATTACTTTAATTATATTTTCTTTTTCATATATAGGGTGGATCAGCTATATAGAATCACTTAAATATTATCTATCACATTCCCGCTATCTTTTGCACAAAAAAACTTCTGGACTAGTTGAAGAAAGAAGTGCAATGTCGGAAACCTTTTTTTTTCAATGATCATTCATTTATGAGATCTCAAGGTCATCGTTTTTTTTTTTTTGCGATTAACCTATATTTATTTTTGGATACTCTTGTGGAATGTGAAAAAATGCATTCAACGATCTATAGAATTACATCATTCCGATCATTTATTTTTAAGATATTTGTGTTATAGATGAGATATTTGAGCAGTTTGAAATTATTACAAATATGTAAAATACAATTCAACTCTAATTGCAATATACAGATGTATTTAATTGTAATTATATCGAATCAATTACAATTAATGTAATTGTACCATATCTAATTTTAGCAGCAGCTAATATCAATTAGTGTAAGTAAGAAAGAATTTTTAAAAAGTACACTATTTTATATCAAGAATTTTATAAAAAATATTATATTCTCAGTTTCTCTACTTTTTTTTATCTTACTTCTTCTCTACTTTCTTTTTCTTTTATCTTTCTTTTATATTACAATTTGATAAACATACGGCTTAAATTGTGAATTGAAACCAAATGTTTCAAGACTTTTGAGTGAAAGGGTATTATACATATTTATCTTCGAAAAATATGTATTTATTTTAATTACGGGTTACAGCGTGTGATCGAAGAAATGATAAACTATATTAAAGAGGCGCAGCAATACGAACAGGAAATCTTTTGCAAGTATATCTCGAAATGCAGCGTGTTTTATGGGAGTTCGATGGTCTGTATGTACCTGACCGCGGTTGCTTTTTCGTTGGGACCTGCAATTCTACCCGTTTCCTTCCCATGCGAGGCGGAATATCCGTTTCGCGTTAATTATACGCCAGTGAATGTTATAATATACATGCACCAGTCTATCCTCAGTTTTCAATGTGCCGCACATATGTGCGTGAGCATATTTGGAGCGTTCTTACTTTGGTACATCGCCGCAAGATTCGAGTGCTTAGCCATAGAATTGAAAAAAACTACCAACATTCGTATGCTGATTGTTTGCATTAAAAAACAATTACATTTAAGGAGGTAAAGACACTTTACTTTACGACGTGTAAGTGAAACGATAAATTTATCTATAAGTTTACGAATATCCAACAAATTCAGATAAAAATGATGTAATAATCGTAATTATCGAACGTTTTTCTACTAATTATTAATTACTAAATTTTCTACTAATTACTACATTTTCAAGTTTCATACAAACCTTTTTATTGGGATTAGAAACACATATTTCAATCGTACTAAAACTTCAACAATGAACATATTTAAAATCACTCTGCAAAGTTTTCAATTACTTAATTATAATCCTAG